CATTTGTGCTCTAATTTCTGTTTGGCTTGTTGAGTTGTATTTCATATTGTGTGTTTTATTATGATTTCAATCATTGATTTAACTAGTAAATAAGTCGGTTAAAGTTTTCACAAACATATTTCAGCCATTGAAATTTTCGAGGAAGGCTTTAAAATGTTTTAGATTTAGAATAGCCTAAATCTGGTTGATGATGTCATTCAATGCCTTGTCTGTTGCCATTCTTTCTCCTTTTACTAGGAAAACCATATTTATTGGTCTCTGACCTTTAAATCATGTCGTTGGAGTCTAAGAAAAAGCTGCACAAATCTGGATTAAAACGTGCATTCATAACCAGTACTTTTAATAATATCAAGAAGAGTGTAAGTATAGATGTTGGTATTCTGTTTAACCACACCCACATTCTCTTTGAATCGTTTTGGTTTAGTACATTATATGCAAAAGCATCCACCATACTTCATCCGATTGAACTGTTTTCTGAAAACTCATTAATAATGATAAATTCGAAAAGTCTCGCACTACAATCGTTTCTTTTTATTCAAATAAAAATTCTTTTTTTCTTGATTTATTATGCGTACTTTTTATTATTTTGTTATCAATACAAAAAAAATTTCATAATAAAGAAAAAAAATTTTTCATTTTCTAAATACAAACAATCTCAAACTCCTGACTGTCATCAGCAAGATTATCTATATATGCATCGTTCATTTCACCTACATATATTAGAAAATATGAACATCAGTGTTTTCTTGCAAGACGACAGTCTGATTATCGCTTGACAGTATTTAATGATAACTATCGAAAAGGGAATCAAGCCAACTTTCATAGGCTCGAGCGTGTGGGTGGGTGTGCGTGCGAGTATAGTTTATCTGTTACCCACACACCCACACCTACACACCCCTACACCCGCACCCACCTACACCCACCCTCTACATTCCCACTAATTACCGAAGAGTTCGAATATATACGTGAACTTGCAACTCAAAATGGATACCCCTTAAACTTTACCGAATCAATAATTCGAAGAACATTAAACAGATACTACGAACACAAAAGCGACAATAAAACCAGACCACCTACAAACAACACCACAAAAAAAAGATCGAACAAACATTCATCGATCTACCATATTTCAGCAAAACAACCGAAAAATTGGGAAAACAATTAATAAAAATAGCATCGTCGGTTCGCCCACAATTACATGTCCAACCGATTCCAAGAGCACCACCATCAGTCTCAACTTATTTTTCGGTAAAGGATAAAATCTCAATCCAACTCAAATCAAATGTTGTATACAAAATTAATTGTCTTAAGTATCCGACTTCATACATAGGAAAAATCCTACGTCAAATAGAACGACGTACTCACGAACACAGCAAACAACCTACAACAGATAATAATTCCAACACACACCTACTATCAACAACCAATTCACAACAAGGTTCAAATCGACCCAAACGACTGATTAAGCCTATTGAACGTTATGGTATTGACTCAAATGCACAGTACCAGGAACAGCCAAAACAACATCCTGATGTTCAACCCAAAGCAAAAAAATCAGCTCTTGGGAAACACGTAAATGAACAACATCATCAAATAGACTGGGACAAAATCAAGATACTTGACATGGATACCAATGACTATCGCCTCAAAATACGAGAATCAATTGCCATCAAACAACACAACCGAACCGCGAACTCAATCCCACTACTTATATTCCCGGAAGGGATAACAACCAAGAAACCAAAAGTTAAAATAAAAAGTAAACACCAAACAAGTCAACAGTGACAATCAGACACACCAGCCATGGGAATCTTGAGATAAATAAAAGCTTTTATTTATCTCTCTCACTCGTTATTGGTAGTGTTCGTAAATAAATATCATTCGTTACGGACGAACAATAACAGAACACTCTTAGTTATCTGTATATATCATTCATCTAAACCTTAACCGTTGTAGTTTATACTCTCACACATATCTTGATAATGAAGATTTAACTCTTCGAAACGTCGATGACAATATTGTACATACATATGTAAATATATAAACTGTATATATATATTTATAATTTTGCTAAAAAAAAAAGACAACCTATAAAACTATAACTCTCAAATATGCTATATGCTGCTGTAAAAACAATCATTTTTGAAGTATTTCAAGCGAAACTCAAAAGTCTTCAAAGAGGCCATGCAGAAACAAAGGATACTCAAATTCAATATAGTTTTACAAGTACATACAATACTAAACTAATTAAAATACTTTTTTTCTTTTTCGTTCAACTATTTATCTAGAACTTAAAATTACTATCATATCTAATAATACAGAAAAGTCAGAAAAGTACAAGAAAGCTTTAAATAATTATGTATAACAATCAATTTCAGTTCGTGAACCTCTTAATGAACATATATTTAAAAAATGGGCACAACCTGCTATTAATGCATTTTATAAGTATTATTTGTATCAACTTGTTGTACCTAACATGGATATTCTTATTGGTTATTTTAAATTATTTGATTCAAAAGAATCAGTTACACAAGCAGAAAATGAATATTATCGAGAACAAGTTAAACAAAGTGAACAAGCTCATTTAACTGTCATTGCTCGAGATATAATTTGAACATATAAAATAGATGATAGAAATTGGATAGAATATGTACCTGAATTAAATGCTCATATGGAAGATGGATATATATCTAAATTATCAAGCGTAAGTATTAATGGAATATATGTTACAAAATACAACATTTTCTTATTATCGATACAAAACTTTGTAAGCGTATATCAGACATGAATTCAGTTAAAAATTCAATTCGAAGTATCAACTAATATAGATCTATATCACTTTCCAATGTCTGCTTGAATCTGAAGAACATTTTATTTTGCAGTAAAAGGTTTGTTCTACAAAATTCATTCATTAAGACTCTTCCTCAAAAATTGATCTTGGATCATTTGCATTCAAATCATATGAAATTTTCAAAATATGTTGAGGCTGTAGTCAAGAGGATATACTAAAATTTTCAGCCCTATATTATTATATTTTTAGAAGATATTCAACACACAAGGATAAAAAAGAACTCATTTAGCAACCTAAAATTCTTTGTAGCACTTCATTCTATAGATTTGTTTATAGCTGAGTACCGTCTTTTATTCAAAGTTACTTTTTGATATCCTATAATACTTACTGAAGCATGAACAAGTTGAAATGAGGATAAAATTATTAGGCAAGTTATTAATATTAGTAAAAAACTATATACCTTTATTGATGTGAATATATTATATATACTTCGTTCAATTGATTTGCGTCACTTCTTTCATCCATCTTTTCCTATACTATAGAGAATAATGTGACCATATTCGGAATATTTCTATTTTAAATATAGAAACGGTTACAGTGAAATTTTTGTTTTGCTTTATAATCAATTTTTAAGATCGTGAAGTCAAAGTATTGAAGAATTATAATAATTAAAAGCATTAATACATTGAAAATTCTTTAAAATTTGTATTTGACCAAGCGAAATTTCTTACATTACAACGAACTTTTAATATTTACTGTCGTTAGTTCCATAAAATAAATCTCTTGAATTATTTTTGCTGTTCGATAATTTATTATTACTAGAAAATACAGTCAATTGAAGATTTTTATTATTCATCATTTAAAAATGGAGCATCTATATATAGTGTAAAAATAAGAAAGAACACGTACCACGATTTATAATATTGCTAATTAATTTGATTGCTTGAATTGAACACAATAAACAAATATATTTGTAGTTTCAGTATATCGACGATAAATTCGTAGACTATGTTATTAATTTTGAACATAACATTGAAACATGTATAAGTACTCAACTACAACGTCCAATTATTCGACATGCTGGCTTTGATTTACTGGAATATTGCCAGATACAAAAAGAGAATATTGCACAATTTACAGTACAAGAGAATTTAATTGAATACAAAAAAATTCATGCTTTATTTGACAAAACAATGACTAATAAATATACTACACTACTTCGTATAGATCGTAATCAAAATAAGCAATAGTATATACAATACAATTCATACAAAAGTTTTTCACTAAGGCAAAATACAGAAAAAAAAATTATTTCATGATTGTCCAAAAGAGTCAGCTCAACTTATCATTAATTCATTTTTTTTAATCTATCATTTGCTCGAATTAATGGTCTGTTCGATTTGTTTAATAGATTTTTTTATGAAAATAATGAGTTCTTTTTAAGGTACCATGTATGAACGAGGAGCTTATTTTTCAGTAAACGCTTCCGACAGTCACGGATATGCTAAGGCTAATATATTGAATGGTGAATGGTATATGTTTGTGGCAAATATATTAGTAGGTGATAGCATTCAAGGAAATACTAATATGAAAATATTACCACCAGGTTTTGATTCAACGACTGATGCAGATTATATATTTATTACATATAGGGATGATCAAACTTATGTTGCATATCTTATTGTTTATCAATGGATTTTTCTAAATGATTACTGCTTTTTCAAAATTAACTAATGTCTTTCTTTGATTTATAACAATTTTTATGCACAATAATCAAGATATTGAATCTCTTTTATGTTTGTTAATAATAATTTTTTTTTATTTAATTTCCTTAAACAACAAAAAGGAATAACAACGAGTTATTGCATAAACAAAAAAAAACAATAACAAATTTAACTAAAAATCATCCATGTCTTCACTTATTTTATTTATTGGTTTTTTTCTTCGATTTTTCTTCGCATTTTCAATTGCTTTCATTCGTCTCTTTTTTCCTAAACCTAAACGTTTTGTTTGTTTAAGACGTTTTTTACGGTAAATTATTTCTGGTTGATTAATAGCTAAAACAGCTAATTTTTGTTTACGTTCTAAACGTTTTGTTCGTCGTTGTTTAGCTATATCAGCATAAATACTTGTAATCGAATGTATATCACAATGACGTTTAAATACATCAAATACATCTTGTGCAAGTGTTTTTAATGGTAAATTTATTGTTGTTTCATCACGTTCAATTTCACGTTCAATAACAGTTAAAAATGGTTTTAAATATGATGTTAAATATGATGATAAATCTAGTACAAGCGCAGCCATCCATTTAAGAATTGATGAACGACGTGTTATTTCATTAGGATATTTTGTTGATTCATATGTTGTTAAACGACAACAACGTTTAACAACTAAATCAAAACAATTTGAATTAGATAAAATAAGAATTTTTGACAAATAAATAAGATTTTTTATAACTTGTAAACAAAATTCTTCTGTTAAATCTGATGGTTTTAATTGTGAACATGAACAACAACATAAACGTTGAATTTTAATTAAAGGTGAAATTGATGAATCGAATATTATTATATAATGAATAAATAATGGTTCATGATCAAGATTTGATTGAGTTGATTTTTTCAAACGTTTACAACTAGAACCATTTTCTATTGTTGTTGTTGAATTTGAACTAAACAAAAATAAAATAAAATATGAATTCGATGAAACTGTAAAATGCTGTGTTCAGTTCTTTTTAAGTTTGGACGAAAATTTCTATTGGTTTTATTTTTTCAGTTTGATGGTCAACAAATTGATACGATTACATAATCTATGGTGCGAAAGTCTTGGTACAGAATATACGTTCGTTTTTCTGTCACTTCAGAATTTTCCGCTATTTTCGAATATATATTCATATTTTCTTCTGGCATAAGATTGAACAATTATTAGTACGTTTTGTGAAAAAGTCAAAAATCGTGTCTCTATAAAGTAAAATAGCGCTTGTCGCGCAATTTGTAGTTTCGATTTTGGAACAACTTCAAGGCAATATTATCATAAAGGGGAAATTAGTATTGGTTAACAATCATTATTTTGAATCATTTAAAACAATCTGATAATAATTGCCCAATCTTATCGTAGTAGAAAGATCAAAAATAGCGAAAAATTCTGATTTTAACTCAAATCAGCTGTCTTTATGTAGTAGAAAAATAAGTAAATAGTCTGTGCCAAGACTTTCGCATCATTGATTATTGATACACGTATTTGTTACAAGAGAATAGCAAGCAAACAGAGTTCTTCTTTTATGTTCTAATTTTTTCATTTTACTCTAAAAACAAGAATATTTACTCAACATTCACGATCTATTTGTTTTAATCAGTTGCATTAAATATATATGTAAGGATGATAGGCAGAATAAGAATGCAATACAAGTGATAGAACTCATATTAAGCTAACAAGATTCCTATAAGAAAAATTGATCGTAGATGTGATTATTCATCGAAGTTCCAAGAAAACAGTATAAAAGTAATAGATCTAACTACATGAGGAAAGAAGATGAATGACCCCGCATATACAAATGATAATTTCAATATATATTTGAAATAAGGTGGATACATGATATGTAGGATTGTCTTTGTCATCAGAATATCATAAGAGATTTAGTGTCATAGTTGTAAAGAATAAGCTCCAGGCATGAGCAACGTTTCTCTCACTGAGAAATGACTTTAGCTTCATAGCAGAAATTTTTTGTCAATCGATTACCCTCACGTAAAAAATTTCGAGCTTTGACCCTATAAGAAACTTGCTAAAATTAGTTACTAGCTGAATCAGAACTAAAGCACATAAATATACTTCTCGCTCTGATGAGCTTTAAAAAAAACACTTCAATCCAAACACTTTTCATCTTAAATTTAATATACCTAATATCTTCTTTGGGTAGATATTTTTTCATATGTTGAACAATATCTTCTGGTTTATTTCTTTCAAATAGAAGACCAAAAAATTGTGCCGATAAAAATCGAACCCATATATGTGGATGAAGTAAACATTTTTCATCAATTAGTTTTAATAACTTTAACCATACTGATCTTAATTGTAAAATTTCTAATGAATTTGGACAATATTTAATAACATAAACTAATACATTAATTAAATGATAAATATATTGATCATTAAATTTTTGTTGTTCATCATTATCATTATCATTATCATTATCATCATTATGTTTAATATTATTTAATTCTCGTTCAATAAAATTAAATACATCAGATAAATATTGATCAAATTGTTCATGTTCAATTTCAATAAATAGAATGAATAATTGAAGTGCTAAACATCGATGTTCAATTTTATCATTAATCCAAATAAAAACAATATTTTTAAAAATATCATTTCGATGTTGTTCATCAATTTTTTCTAATAATAAACGTAAATTTAATTGAAAATATTTTTTACATTCATTATTTGTTTCATTATAATAATGACATGATAATGGAAGAAAAAAATAAGCAGCATAATCATTTAAACGTTGTTTTGTTAAATCATTAAATAAATTATTTAGAAAAATTAATACTGATAAACGACCATTATAATCTTCATAATCAAGTTGAAGAAGAAAAAAATCAAAATATGATTTTAATTTTGTTTTTGTATGTTCATAAGAAAATAAATATATATGAAACAGATCACGACATGCTGTACGTATATGATCATAAGGTGATTGAATTATCATAAATATTATACGTGAACGTAAAAGATTATCAAGTTGTGTACGAAGACTTTTATCATTTGATATTATTGTTACAGAATGACGCATTATTGAACGAAGAAGAAGAAATGCACTTGATTGACGATGAACATTAAGTAAATCAGATTCAATATAAGTAAATAAACATTGATATTCTTCAGATGTTAATGAAACATTATCATTGATTGAACGTTGAACAAATGTACCAAGAATTTTATAACAAAGTGTCAGTAAATCATTCAGATCATTGGTACCAGCTACAGATGAATACATTTTCAATAATTCGAATACCTAAACAGTAAGATTTATTAAATTTTATTTTATTTTTTTTTTTTTTCGTTTAAAATTATTAATTTCATTTTCGCAAACATGATTCTTGATAATTTTCGACAATGGAAGAGACTACAATTTGACAAACAGTCAGCCAAAATTTTTGCAGCCACAGTGAAAAAAGTCAGAGGGGTTTACATTCTCAGCCTCTGTCTGAAACTCGAAAAATTACAAAAAAATTCGGTATTCATATTAATGTTAAATAAAATAAATAAGAGATCGCATGTTTTCGAATATAATTTTCTTTCAATCATGTAATATATTATTTAAAATGAATTCAATAGACCCAAAGAAAATAAGTCTCAACAGTTCCTTTTTTTTTTTTAGGGATGATTCGATGGTCATATGATCAAAAAGGAAGATCTAGTTATATCAAATGATGAAATAATCTCAAAACAAAAAGAATAAACAATTAATCGCATCAGAATATGCTGAAAATAAATATGTTATGTTAATTTTTCAAAATGAAATTATTGTTTGACTGTATCAAAAATAAAGACACAGCGTATATCTCAAAATATGAAGATTTTTATGTATCTAACCTCATGAACCTTATATTAACACTTGCCATTTCGTTTAAACTTTTTATACATGTATAAAGAACAAGAGTTATTAATGGGATGACGAAATAAAAATCTGTAGATTATCTATTATTTTCAAGATAAGTAAGTATCTACACACCAACTTTAACAGATCTTTCTTCAAATGTTTCGCAAGCATTGTTCTTAAAAAATATAATGAAAAGAATATCTTGAATAGAGATATGCACGATAGAATACGATAAGGATTAGAAAATTTTTTTCAATTAGGGTATAACAGATATGAGATCGGTCTGGATTTATCAGTTTTCATATTAACAATGTTTCATTATACATCCTCTATGAGATGCTAAGCACAAAAAAATTAATAAGACACATTGGTACCCGTCCGCTCTCTACTGTATAGGGTACATAAAAAGCTTATCCTATACATCTCTAACAATGAATTAAGCGTCTCGTGTTTTAACTTAAGAAGAAGAAAAAACAACAAACAAAAAAAAAAGATATGAAAAATTGATTTTATAATTTAAACAAATAGAATCTTAAACTATTTCAAATCTCGAATCTTAAAAAAAAGGAAATTTTATTTGATCATTAATAATAATCAAAATACTCGACTAAATTACCTTTTTATAGATATTAGTAATGCGCTGTTGATTTAATGATGGCAATGAATATTCTAATACTGATGATAAATTTCTAAGTGAAGAAACAATAACATCTGTATATTGTGAATTTAAACATATTTCAATGTGAATAATAAATGGATCAATCATAGATAAAAATTTTTGCTCATCATTTTTATGTTTTTTAACAAGTTTATGAAGTAAATTAAGTGCCCATGAGATTAAACAATGAATATTTGTTTTCTTTTCATGTTTAATAGCTTGTGCAACACGTGTATGACCACGTTTAGGTTCAGCTGGTATTAAATGATATTTATTTCGTTCTTCTATAATTGAATTTAATGTTTTCTTATTTTCATTATTATTAATTTGTTCATTGTAATTATTTTCTTCTGTTTTTGTTAATAAATGATGAACAAAAATAAATAAAATTTCAATTGATAAATAATTATTATTAATTAAACCTGTTTGAAAACGTTGTAAACATTTTTCACATTTTGATATTTGTCTTGAATCATTATTTAATGATAATTGTTGACGTAATGGTTCGATACATATTAGAAGTTCATTATTTGAATGTATTAAACGACCAAGTAATTCCATAACATTTGCTGTTTTATTTGTTTTAGCTTCAGGAATATTCGATGGTTTATATGTTGAATTTTCATGTTCACTTGCTTTTGATGATTCAGTTTTTTCAAGATTAAATAAATCAGCAATAAATATATTTGCTATAATTTTAACAGCTGAATCAATATTAAAATCATATGTTAATGCTGATATATGAATAAGTATTGTATGAATTGTATGTAATAAAACAAATTGTTGATAACCACGTTGTAAACCAGATATTAATTCTTCAATTATAAATTTAAAATAACGTTTACCAAGTATTGTTATACATTTACAAAGACAATCACGTGCTTGATCACGTATTGAATAAAGACGTGAACGAAGTAATGTTAACAAATGAAGAAGAATTGTTGATATATGTTGTTCAATAAAATCATTTGGAAATATTACTATTAATTTTGTTGCTATTAATGAACATGTTATTGTTAAAAGAACAGCTTGTTGACGTTGATCATCAATAGTTGCATTTTTTGTTGACATTCCACTTGTTGTTAGACTATCGATAGAAAATGAATTTTGACTTAATAAATCAAGAATCATTGGTAATAAACGTTGTTGAATTGTTCGACGGATACGTTCACCTACAAATAAAATAAGGCATAAATTTTTATTAAAAAAACAATTAATCAATTCAGTCAGTTTCTTTCAGAAGAACTTCAATGATTGGTCAACTATTTGAGATATTACAAAAGTTTCATTGATTAGTTACTTTAATATCATTTTAATGAATATAAAGTAATATAAAAATGAAATAATGTTGAAGCATCGTTATTTTCTGTTCTACTATGACAGCTCCTAACAACTTATGAACTTGTATAATTGATATATCTTATTATTAATAATTTTGTTTGGTTTTTAAATATTTTCATATTGTTGTATAGCATAGTTTTTATTCGTAATTCTTCGGTAGAATGTATTTGTCTGTTGTCAGGAAACGGAAAACATAATTCAACGTAAATAATATTATAAAATATTTTCGATAATCTATATAACGATGAGAAATTCTTTGAAAGAAAAATTACTTTATTAATAATAAGTGAGAACTAGAGATGGATAACACCAAGCATTACTATAATCTTTAGTTTCGGTTGTGATAACTTTTTTCTTGTCCTGTTTTCAGCAACTTCTCTTTTTCATAATTTCGTACATCTGTAATCAGAGCTAATGCTTTCTAGAATGTTTGTTACTACTATTTTGTAAATCTATATATGAAACTTTTTTTTTTCTGTTATAAGACTAAAAAAACATTGTTTAATTACTTTCAGAATTATTGTCATTGTTATCTAATTGAAAATGAAATGCATCAATAATAGCCGATATTGTTTTAGTTAAACATCGTTTTTGTATTAAATTTAATGTTCGTTTTGTTGTTGTTAATTGACGAAAAAAGGAAATAAATAATTGATTATATTTTATCCATGGTAATATTTGACATAATGTTGTTAAACATGGAAAAACAATATCATCATTAATATCTTGTGCATTTTCGTTAATAACATCATTTATAAATGAACAAACAATTGGTAAAAGATAATTAATTATTGTTGTTAAACGAANTTCAGGCATTCAATGTGCTCGATCAATTGCTAATCAGCGATCTCAACATTCTCTTTCTGATCATCAATCAAGAGATAAATCAATAAAAAGCTGTGCTTTGTGTCAAACATAATTTTATTATTATTTTATTTGAGATCTGACATTTATTATTTTATTTTCAAATAAGATTTTTATTAACTGATAAATAAAAAACAAAAACCGTCTTTTTATATCGATTTATCATAAAAACACATTATTTATCTAATGTGCTGCTATTTCATTGTAAATGCTTTTCATTTATGATTTGTTTTGTTCATTTTCTAATCATTGGTGACATTTTATTTGCATTGAAATCAATGCTAAAACTTAAAAATACATAACTAAATTTTTTTTTCACTTGCATCTATTAAATTTCAGATGAGATAACATATGCTCATAAGATTTTATCACAATTAAAGCGAACTTTATTTACAATTATATTTTTCTTAATAGAAATCAAAATCTTCTATAACTAAACCAATTAATATCAGTTTTCAATTGCTATAACATTGATTTTTTTTATTTCAATAATCTAATATCGGCCTGTCCACGTAACGGTATACCTTAGTGGGCGAAGTTGACCTACTCAAATAATCGAAACCAATATGATCATCGTGTAGAGCGATGTCGATAACATATGGAAATATATTTTTTATTTACATTGTGACGGCATTTCTTAGAAAAAACTGTGCTACGAAGAAGATGTGTCCTAGAAGCGATAAAAGTCAATGTTTATTATAAAATCTTATTTGAGGATTTTTTATATAAACAAATATATCTTGTTCAACATCTCTCACACCAACTAACAATGCTTTCGATACTCTACTTAATTATAACAAGAGGACTATGTTTCGTCACTTCCTCAGAAAATTATTTACAGTTGTAAAGGTAATACATTGATGAAGGTGATTCCGTCACGAAAATTCCTTTCAATTCATTTTTAGTCAGGAGCATTAGGTTTTTCATTCAAAAAAGCAGTGCTCTAAATACAGTTTTTTTGCGCTCTATTCAACCAATGGATTGCCTATTTTTATGAACATTCCAGCTGATCAAGAGGGTCGTGACGGAATGACTCTCAAACGATTAGGTTTTCTTCACAAAACTTGGAAACATTAACTTTCTCTGAAGTTGTAGCCCTAATGAGATGTTAACATATATAGAACAGATAGTAGAGCTCGATTAGCTTATTTTGAAGTCATTTTATGATAGTTTCCAGTTAATTTTATCACATGGGTTGGAGGAGCCATTTAGGAGGAATTACGCGTAAGCCACGACCAATTCCGGGAGAACCTTGCTCAATCGATCTCACCACTCTGGCTGATATTTTCACAGTAGATATACCGAGTAAAGTTAGGAAGAAACTTAAAATTTCATGTGAAGCGACTAAGTCATTATGGAGATATAGACGTTACAAGTATAGGTATTTAGACACATTTGCAGTATCTTTCAAGCAATACTTCTCAGTCAAATTTTATTTTCTAAAGAACAACAAGAGTTATAACAGAGATTTCTTTACCATAGATACTATCGTCCATGGGATATGATGCCCATAGCTTTTACTCAAAAGTGATTTGCCATCGAGGAACATTCTCTTCTAAAAACGTACCAAAAATTAGATGAATCGAATATCATCCAATAAGATTTGAAACAGTACCTCTTCTGTCATCTTTCACAATTGTGTCCAAACGAGTTGAAATTTCGGTTTTAAAGGTTTCTCGACATATGCTCTCATCTAAATCACATAAATCGAACACTTGAGAATAAATCATCAATTTGTATTGTTAGAATCATACGGCAAATTTGACCTTTTTGACCTTGTTCAAAAAGTTTCCTGTANTTTCATCGAGCTGGCAGATCATTTTCATGGGTTCTTTTGCATGCTTTTCGAATATGATTAGTTTTAAAAGGTTTTCGTCTTATACATTATCAGAGAAAAAGGCGTCCCAACTCCTCCTCTTTCGATTGACGAAAACCGCAGGTCGCTAGCTATTGCGGTTGTCGAGTTATTGAGCTTATACCCACCCCTATTTAATTCTGGCGCCGACAATAGTTACGGTGCAGAATTGGCAGAAGTTCAAACAGCACATGGGCAAACGTATCAGGCAAAGTTTGTTCTTGTGCCAGTACTACTGGGAGTGTTAAAAGGAAGATCAATCGACTTTAATCCTTCACTAACACAATGGAAAATGGATGCTATAGATCATTTAGGTTTTGGAATATTAGATAAAGCTGTCTTGCTATGGCATGAAGCCTGGTGGAGTTCAACTGACTACTAGTTTTTGAGAGTTTCAGCAAAGCCAACTGAATTCGGCTACTGGGTTAATGCAAACAAATGGAATGATAAACTAGCTATCGTATGTTATTTTGTTGGTAAAGAAGCTTATCGACTCGAATCTGCTATGAACAAGTCTCAAGTAATTGAACAAGTTCGACAAACATTACAAGATATGTTTTCTAATCGAATTGTTCCTCCATCTATCGATAGTCTCATGACTTACTGGAAATTAGATCCTTTTTCCAATGGTTCCTACTCTTATGTCTCACTAAATCAGCGATACGAAGATCCTTCATATTTGGCTCAACCAACTCAAAATCAACTGTTATTTGCTGGGGAAGCTACAAGTACAGATTCTTATGGTTATGCCCATGGTGCTCTCATGAGCACTCGAAGAGAAGTAACTAGATTATTATACATTTATAATTTGTTGAAAAACCCACGTCCACCCAATTTCGTCATGCTTAATGCGAATCGTTCAATAATTTTTCTAACTGTAGTTTTGAGTTCTTTGAGATGTTTGTGGTAATATAAATTATTCTATGTTTTATTATTTTCGTCTAATTTTTTCTAATATTACTGTCATTTTGTGCTTTCATGATAATTTTATTATTCATGACTAATCATTTTTTTTATCCTACTTTTCATGAATGCATAACACTGAGAGTTTAAAATTGTTTTGAATCATGATCTATTAACTATTTTTTTCATGTAATCTCATTTAAATACCATGTTTAAAATAAAGACAATAAGAAAAAACACATAATTAAATTATATCATCTTGTAGAAATTTTATAATGGAATATTTGTAGCTTTACTTTTATTTCTCTAGAAGTATGTTAGCACTGGTTTTTTTAACATTAATCTATGAATAATAATGTAGATACGGGAAAACAACATGGTCCTCTAAATGTTATCTATAGATTAAATAAGCTAAATCCATAGTTAACTGATTACACATTGTCTCAGTATATCTATTATAAATCCTCCTGAATTTCAAAATATGTACTAAAGTAGAGTTCATAATTCAAAATTGATCTGAAATGTATTACTCGAGAAGCAACTTCATGAAACGAATATCATAGATCAATTGTAGTTTTATATAATAACGACTATAAAGTCATTGTTTACGATATCATGTAAGAAAAACTTAAATATGGATACATAATGATATGAATTTTTTCAATAAAAATCTTTCGATTATAGTGATTTTGAATGCAAAGATTTGTATAAATTTTTGTCAAACGAGAAGTGATATTATGACAAAATAATAAGGTATTTACGTTTCGTGTTGGTAAGTATTTGGAATTTTATTGTTTTATTTATTTGAAGTTTACTGATTGAAACTTGTTTTGAATAATATACTATCATACTGAATTTTTTCTTCACCGTTTAGAAAAGTTTTTATATATTCATGGTGAACAAAACGACATTAATTATTATTGTTCACTATGATTTATGAGGACTGGGCATTGAGATAAAATAAAAATATAACCACCGAGATCAAGAGAGAACACGTTAGTAAATATTTGTTGGAGAAAAACAGCATACCTTTTGATATCATTAGGCTAAGAATGATTAAAATCTTATCATCGTGACAGTCATATTCTACTTCCTTTCCTAGGTTTTTATATTTTTGTTTATGGTAGAAACAATAAAACAATCTGCATTATTACTATAATTCTGTGGTTTGACTAACATTCGTGTATATACATAAATGTCAATTTATAAATTATATTATTTTAATGAACGTGGTCGTGCTGAGACATCTCGTCTAATCTTTGCTACTGGTGGTCAAAAATTTCACGATATTCGATATAAAGAAAGTGAATGGCAGGCACACAAAGCTGAAATGCCTCTTGAGCAAATACCAGTACTTTAAATCGATGGATTCAAATTACCTCAGTCGATTTCTATTGCACGCTTTCTTGCCAAAGAATTTCATTTAGCAGGTAAAAATAATTTGGAACAAGCTAAAGTAGATGCCGTTGCTGATACATTAACTGATTTACTTAATAAATTTTCACCAATTTTCTGGAAAGAAGAAGAAGATGAAAACAAGAAAAAAGAAGGCATCAACAAATTTATGACTGAAGAATTGCCAAAACACTTAAAAAATCTCGAAACTTTGGCACATTCTTACAGTAATGGTGGTTATTTCTTCGTCGGTAATAACCTCACTTGGGTAGATCTATACGTATACGATACGATTCAGAATCTTCTCGAAATAGATGGCAATCTTTTCAATCATTATACTTAGTTAAGAGCTAATCGAAAAGAAGTGGAAAAACAACCAAGAATTGCGGCATACCTCAAGAGCCGTCCAATAACACCATACTAAGTGCACGCACCTTTAATATTGAGAAAATATTCATTTGCTTTCTATTTTGCCTAAATCTTTTATTAATGATATCATTATTACTAATAAAGATGTAAAATATCCTTTACAAATTGGTGATCAGTATCCAATCAGGGCCTGGTTACGAAAAAAACAAATTTCGATTTCAGGATGGATTTGTAGTCTGAACATTTTGTAGGCACAAAAAGCATTTTGAAAGTTTTTTTTTCTTTTAAAAGTTCTATAGGAGAAGCATAGTAGAACATGAAGTGACGTATCGCACGATCTTTTCCTAGACTTCATCGACTGTTCTTTATTGACATCGGACAATTATGCATGGCACGTATATTGTCTGTTCGATGGTAACATAAAGGTCGCAGGTTATATATATATAAGAAAGGAAAGGAAAAACAAAAGGCAATTCTAATACATAATCGTGTTGTCTCAACTGCGGAATATCAGAAAAATATCATGGACATGTCTTTTGTTTCCAAACTGCAAAATGAAACGAAGAAAAAAGTACTGAGATTTTGATTTTCTCAAAAGAAAGAAAAAAACTACTCAATACCCGAGTCCAAAACGGGTTGGATCGAATCACAGAAATTTGACCGATGTCGGACACTGTTCGTGATATAAGTTCAGATTACAGTAAAGTTTTCTTTGTTTTTCTCCATAGTAGTGTCGAAATAACATGTAAAAAGAATTAATATCTTTTTTTCTATATCAACTTAAATATTTACAATCTTACAAGCTTATATGAGATATCGTAGTTCGAAAATAAACATTCAAATTATTTTCTCAATTCTTCTCCGTCATTCTCCAAGAAAAAAAAACGAGTAATAATCTTTTCAACACATTTTGTAAAACATTTATTTTAAATACACAGTCGATACATACAGACAGTTAAATGAAAAGAAAATAGAGTTTGACATGAATAATCCTATTGTAAGTGATTTTATCAAGTCCTCTGAATGAATTTTTCTGAGGAGAACCAAAAAGAAAAGCATTTGTCACTGTTAGATAAGACAAATATAATAAATATGATTGACGAACATTAACCAATACATTAGTTGAACAATGATGATGTGGCTAAAACAAAAAAATAAAACTAAAGTTTCACAATTAGATATACAACTCGAAATTATTTTATCTATGTAAAATCATTTCGAGTTGTATTAGGTGAAAATTTCCAAATTCTTAGTTTTTGATTCAACACAAATTGATAAAAAATCTAAGTTTTTCATTGACAATTCGAAAATTTTCCATTTTGCTGAGAATTCGATACTAATTCTAAATATCTGCACACTAACGAACAAAAGCAGTAGAGTACGCTTAATGATCTAAAAGCACGGTAAAATTCGAATACTAATGAAATTTTTTAACGCATTGTATCTAGAAAACGGATACGAATTTCAAATGGCAGCGTTCTCAAAATAAGTGTGTTAGGTAGATCTCGTTAATTTCTATCTGAAGATTCTGTTTTTGTTGCGAAAGCTACCATTAGAAGTGAGTAAAATAGATTATAAGTGAGTTTCGTTATGAAATTTCATGAAAAATAAAGATGTATTTTGAGCGTATTATCTTGGCTCATAGACATCTAACATTTGTACAAAGATCATATGTCAAAAGACTATTGCAAATTTTATACATTAATATTTAATTGAAGAATATTTTCTCTAACGATCAATGCTTATTTACATATGTATTCCACACTACTATCTTTTGCAATAACTTTCGAGTTGACTACCTTGTGAAGAATTTTGCGTGTCCAGCGCATTCAATGCCACTATTTCAGATTCTATCAATGGTGTTCCTTTCTATAGTAAACTCAGCTTTCTCTACTTTTGAGCTCGAACCCTCCACAGATGTGTGGATGACCGATGGCTGCCTATATCGATAAAGTACTAGCTTTATTTAATTTCTTATTCGTATCAAAATTGTCTCAAGGTTATTTTTTCATAGAATCCCGTTAAAGTTAGTTTATCTAAAAAACATAAATTATTAAGATCAAATGAAATTTGTTATAGTAACACTATCATTGTTATACCATTAAGATGTTGTCGCGGACTTTTTTCTTTATAAACTTATTGCTTAAGAATATGATATATAATGTGTAAAAAATAATATACTAAATTTTCAATAATAATCAAGACAATTCAAAGTTTTCTTAAACTTACGAGGTCGTCCAAGTGCTGATTGTACAATTTGATACATGCATCGTTGAAATTCTTTAAGAATAACTTGTTTTGAATCGAGATCATTCATTTGATTCATTTCACATTGTTGACCAGTAACAAGTAAACAAGTAGCTAATGCTTCAGTTACTTCCATGTTAAATACATTATTGGGAATAGTACTAAATCATATAAAAGAACCTTCCAACAATAAAAAAAAAAGATACGAAAACTTAAATATGTTACGTTTCTGTTGGAGGTCCTGTTCGTGGTATTTGATCAAGTGGAGTTTGTGTTGTTGTTTTTGGTTGACCCGATCGGTAGAAACCAACATTAAGAGGATGTACTGATTGTTCAGTATTTTTGCAACCAATACTGAAAATAGAAATAAACAATTTTTCATTAATATAATTCGGATAGGAAATTTTTATTGATTTACCATTTGCATAAACTAGTACAAGGTACTCGTGACTAAGAAATAAATATTAAATAAATGATTTTAATAGAAAACTTATTTACTTCGTAACATTCACAATATCGTTTGTGACAACTTGATTTTTTACACTAGAAAAAAAAAACAAAATTTCCCTATCTTATTGAAAAGTATTAATAGTCCATCATTTACTTTATTTAGTACGTGGCCATCTGTAATCGCATTCAGTTGTGTGCAAACATCACGAACTAAAAATACAATGGTCATATCATTGAGATTATAACGAACGCTGTCTAAAAACGGTGTAGGAAATGTAACCAGAGATGATAGTATTTTTGCTATCGCCATCGGTTTTGAAAATAAATGTAAAAAAAATGTTTTTCTTTCAATTATCTTTCTATTCACATGGTATGTTGTTCTGTTTTACCTTGATTATGTAATCATATCTCGGCGAAAAAAAGGAAAAATGCATTTCCATCAAGGGTGTACATCAGTATCGCCATGTTTGCACATCACTATCGTAAATTGCAACCAGTTTTGCTGTTTTTTACTCTGCTTGCGTTTATTATGATTGTCCATATGATGATTCAGTTGTAATATTTTGTCAGTATATTACTTTCTAAGAGCTAATAGTAAGTTGAACTGATGCCAATTTGTCCTATGTTAGCGACAAAACTTTCGATTGAATTCAGGCATATATTATTCATAGAAGCAAAATATTAGCATCCATTTAAATTTATTGCTAATATGAAATAGAATTAATTAAAAAGACTTTGCGTGAATGAGTCTTTTGAATTCATGTTATATTGGAAAGTACACAGATAGAATAAAAGATATTAACAATACATCAAATACAAAAAAAAACAACGATCAGAAAAGCAAATTGCGGTTCATACATTTTCTTTTGAAATATTTCGAGAATCAAAAAACTCGTTATACTCACTTAACCGGCATGTAAAATATAAGTTACTCAAATGTACTGTGATCAACTATTTGTTCGAATGAATACAATCAAGTAAAAGGCGAATGTTGCTTGATATTTAGGATATTCTTACTGTATTTTTCTTCGTGGAAACATGTTCAAGTTCTATTTTTCTCTTGTTTTTATTGTTCAACAAGTGTTCTCATTTGACAAACAAGTTATATCAATATCAAGACATCCTTTATTTTCGAATGTACTTGCGTTGATTGATCAATTACTTTTATAAATTCGTCAAAGGAGACAGGCAGGCATTAATCATTTGCAAATACGATATGATTGATCAAAAATTGTAGCGATTCACAGTCATTGTTTGTTGAATGCTTTTCTGAAACGCATAATACGTCTAAAGTTCAATATTCTTTAAGTTTTAGTGAAGTTGAAATAGCTCGTATACCTCGAATAAAAGTTCAATAGAAGCAATTAACAACGTTTGAACAACAGCTGAATATTGTGAAAATATCGGATAGAATTGACGCAGATATTACATTCAATGTTATCAAACCGAGTTTGTCGTTTGTTACTGAAATGTTTAATTACTTTAAGAGTAAGCAAATATCAAACAATTGTAGTCTAAGAATTTTCTTGACATCTTCTTTTTTATGTGTTTCTAATATGCAATGTTTTTTTTTCTATCTATTCAATTAATTCAAAAAGATTTTTCTCTAAACGATAGTAAATCTCAACTGACTGTTTCTCTTACTCATCAAAACATTTTATCGTCAATGAATAAACTGATCGAAAACTAAGACATTCATTAAAAAAATACATGTATCCAGAAGCATAAAATACATCTAATAGTATATTTTTATTGTTCTGTTCAATTCAGAAGTTAACATTTTTATTTATAATAAATCATGTTGATCACTAGCATATACTTGCACATAACTGTTTCTCCTTTTAATACATACCTATCACAATAAAGAGCAAACTATTTCAAATCGAAATAGTTTCAATCACGTAAATTTTTTAAATAATTCAATAAAGTAAGTGGTAAAGACCCTTGAATTACTTCAAAATTTAATATAATTGAATCGGTTGACTGTCCTATCGTATATAAAATTTGATTAAATTGTACAGTCATGACGTATACTGCCCTCTGTAACCATCACTCATTTGGATACCCTTTCCTTCAATCAAATTGTAAGCGGACAAGGAAGGATGTAAAGATAGTTCTTTCAACGAAGAAAAAGAGTGATCGTTCATCATATTGTTAGGAGAATTCTAATGTCTGGTAATCCTCCGTCCATCGTTCTTCTTCCATCATCTTTATCAACAAGTCAAAATCCTTCTATTCAAACTGTAACTGCTCATCCGATTGTTCGACCTCCTATCATTCTTCATCAACAAGCATTACAACCGTCATCATCATCATCAATACCATTTAAAAATGTTATTGTGAAACCATATCGAGATAGTATTCAACAAGCCCTAACAACAACAACAAATGTTGATGTTAAGCCAATCATTTTACAACAGGTAATAATATTAATTTGATTTGAATTCTTATTTCTAATTTAAAATTTTTTTTTGAGAGTGATAATGTTGAACCACATCAGCCAAATAAGCGAATTGCTCTTGATTCATCTGATTTTAATAGTTCTAATATAACATTTTCAGCTGTACCAAAGTCTGAAGTAATGACTGTTTTACAACAAGCTCAACCACTAAATACACTATCACTTGCAACAATGGTTCCACAATCATCATCAACTTCTGCATCTTTTTCAACCTTACGTTTAGTAACACCATCGACATTTATTAATTCCAGTGAGATGTCTACAAGTAAATAATTTATAACAATAAACAAAATTTCAAATTGAACTATATTTTAATTTTAGTACAAACATCAGGTCAGCAAATTTTACTTCAACAACGTGGAAATCTTGTTATTACCCAACCACTTGTCACGGTAAAGTATTTATCAAACTTTTTATGAAGTACACATATTCATCAACATTAATCTTAAAAATTCAATTACTTGAAGCTGGCTTTTTCGTATGGAACAAAATTTATTCTAACTTAAGATATTCTTCTATCATTTGTTCAGCAACTTTCAGAACTCTATTTTTTGAGATTTATTGATGTTTTTGAACAAATTCTGAGGTGGGTGTGGATGTTTCATATAATAGACCTTTTGAGAGAATAATATATTTGGAATAGATCCGATAGAATAGATTTATTCGATATTATATGGCAGAATTTATAATAGAGATCTTTTTATGATATAACAACCTAAAAATAATCCTGTTTCACAAAAACAATGAACCGAATCATGATATGAATCTTAAGTGCATGACTTGAGAAGCCATATAATTAAACGCTAAGTCATCTAGTGTTGCTACTTAGTTGTAAAAATTTTACAACAATGATTATCGATATTAATTGATCCTGTGTTTAGAATGTATCTGCTGATAGATCAATTCATGGTAGGGAGTCAGGTGAAGAGGAATGCCAACAACGATATGTGTTTGTCGGATAGATCCTATGAGGGATTATTTGATGTTAAGGAGCTTCTATGACAAGTCCTGTGAAAGCCAATAATGTTTTATAAATAAATTCACTAGAAAAAATTTAATCCAGCGATAAATTAATAATGTATTTAAATAAATCTTATAAAATTCATCATACTTTTTATAATATGCGGCATAGAAAAGAAATGTCCCGGAACTTTAAAAATAAGTAAATCCAACAAAAAAAAAAGTCTGAGTTACCTCTCTACTTGTTGAGTTTAAAACGTATTAATTCAATATATTGTTTTCATTTTTTTTTTCTTTTGTATTTTATTTAGTTGCAAGTTCAACAAGATCCAAGTTCTGCTCAAAAAGAAAATAATAGTAATCCTAACCTTTTCCCAATAGAACAATCAACTAATAATAATACGAGGTTGATTTATCTATTTTTCTTATATACTGAAATCAATAAATAAATTCATTCATAACTATATAGAACAACGAATGCTGATTATTTACCAATTCAATATCAGCGAAAACCATGTAATTGTACAAAATCAATGTGTCTTAAATTGTAAGTTTATATTATAAAGCATAATATTAAAAAAAAGTTTCTTTTTCTTGAAAGATATTGTGATTGCTTTGCCAATGGTCTTAATTGTCAAAATTGTGCTTGTCTAAATTGTCATAATGACATACGACATGAAGAAGAACGAGCAAAAGCAATAACTGCTACACTTGAACGTAATCCTAATGCATTCAAATCAAAGATGTACAAATTTGGTTAGTTTATAATAATATTTTCATGTATAAAAATGAATAATCTGATTCTTTTTCATTTCTTCAAAACAAATAAATAGCTAATACAACTATTCCGCAACCAGATCGACCTCTCAAAGGTTGCAATGTACGTTCGAATCAATTGTTTGATGAAGTACTCTATTAATAAATTTTTATTTTTTTTTTCTAGTGNGGGGTGCGCACCCTCCCACTTTTTGAAAATTTTCAATTTTTCGCAGCAAAAATAGTCAATTTTTCTTCAAAAAAAGGTCATCAAATTCAAAAAGATAGGTTTGCACCCCCCCACTTTTGAAAAATCTATCCAGAAATCTTTGTCAGTTTCCAAAATTTTCAATGCACCCCCCCACTTTTTTTTCTTCGCCACATCCCTGTTTGTTTATATCTAATAAACATTTTTTTTCTTATTCGTTTAGCTGGTGCAGAAAGTCTTGGTGGAGTAGCGTCGAGTGGTTCTGCACAAAAGATTCGAAAACAAGTTGGCGTATTAAAAGAAGAAAATAATATGTTAAAACTTAAAGTTGATGTTTTATTAAATCTTGTTGCTGAATCTGTTGCTGAATTATCATCATCTCAAAAATAGAAATATTTTAATTAAATGAAGACTATTCGTTCTATATTATGTGTTTTCTTTATCCATGATAGATTTATTATGAACTTTCTTATGAGAGTCGACAGGCTTATTATTGTTCTTGTATTTATCTGTTTCATATTTGCAAATAAGATAATTAACATAAAGTGATAGATTTTATTTGGTTTATGCGATTTACTGTTCATTGATTACATAAAAAATATATTCCAATTAGAGTTTTTCGTCTGTATGAGGACTTCCTTACCGCTGATTATATGGAAGAAGAGAAATTAGTAGTGTGGATATGGGTCTTTGCTTCAACGACATCTACACCTACACTACTCATTTTACTTCTTTTGGATAAATCAACGGAAAGTAAATTTGCGAACAGTAAACCGTGCGCTCGATTTCAATCTATTGAAATATGATAGCAAAAAATAATGTCAGAGTGAACAACTGACTCATTTATTGTAATACGATTTTTTTATTCACTTTTTTTAAAGAAAAATAATTTGGATTGAATCAAGAAAAAAATGATAGTATTTCTATTGTAAATTTTATTTGTGAATTACGATTAATTATGTAAACCAATCATTTCAAATCGTGACGTACCATTCGATTCGTTCGGTATAAAAAAAAAAAAAGATATCTTTGACAATTGAGATGATGATTCATTCGTTTCTAACATTCTTTTTTTCTTTGTAATCTAATGGAAAAGAAAATAATAGTATTTAGAATTTTGTTTAGATTTTTGTAATTAATGCATTCATATTTAATTGATGGATTGACTGTTCTATTTCCTTTTGAAGCTTATCAATGTCAACTTGATTATATGAAAGCTGTAGTTGAATGTCTAATTAAAGTCTGATTGCTTTTTTTTGTTTTTTTTTGTAGCGAAAGTATTAAATTAATTTAAATATTGTTTATTTGAAGGGTCAAAATGGTATTCTTGAAAGTCCCACAGGTGGAGAATTTTTTGTTCTGTTTGTTGTTCATTAAATTTATTTGTAATCAAAAAGGTACTGGCAAAACTCTTTCTCTATTGTGTGCTTCTCTTGCTTGGCTAGAACAAAATAAAATACATAATTCAGATTCAAATGGTAAAATATTCCTATAAATCTATTGATATATTGAAATTCAATAATGTTTAGAGGCACCAATTCAAATTATTTATGCTTCACGCACACATTCTCAATTAGCACAAGTTGTTAAAGAATTTAAATCGACCGATTACAAGTTTGAAAATGAGAGTGTATCAATGTTATGTATTTTTAGTTTTGTCTTTATTGTAGTCGAATGAAAATAACTGTTTTGGGTTCTCGAGATCAATTATGTATTCATCCAGAAGTAAAATCTCTTGAAAATAGTTCTGATAAAATATCAGTTTGTCGAGAAAAAGTTCATCGAAAGACATGTTTATTTTATCGAAATTTTGAAAGTATAGTATTTAAGAAAAAATAAATATAATTTATCAGATGATTTCATTAAATTATAGTTTCTAAACCTGATATTGTTAAATTACCAGCAATGGATATTGAAGATTTAGTTAAAGCAGGAACACAAAGAAAGTATAAGAAAGATTTATGTTAAATTTTCATAATAATATATCGGTTTTATTTAAAGGTTTTGTCCGTATTTTGCTGCAAGAGAACTTAAAGAAAAAGCTGATATTATATTTATGCCATATAATTATTTACTTGATGCTAAAGTATATTAATAATGAACAAAAAATAAAAGTTTAACTATTGTTTCTTTTCAAAGGCTCGTCGTATTCATAAGATTAATGTACGTAAATGTGTTATTATTTTCGATGAAGCTCATAATATTGAACAACAATGTGAAGATGCTGCTTCAGTAATGATTAGTTCACTTGATCTTGCTGCTTGTCTTGATGATATCAGCAAAGTTATGCAATGGATGCATGATTCACAATCATCAGAATATTTATCTACAGCATCAACTGATGATAATGAAGAAAATAATATTGATCCAAATGGTAAATAATTTGTTTATGATTGAAAATATTTATCTTAAAATATTAAATATTATTTCAGCTTTAACTATTACACAAGATCAAATTAGTAGTTTAAAATGTAAGTTAATTATTTCGTTTTACGAAAAATAAAATGAATTAGGATTCTATTTTATTAAAGTAAAAATCATGAAATTAGAATATTTATTGGATGAAATGAAAACGACCAAAGGAAATATTCCATCACCTGGCGAGTACGTTTCATAAAAGAAAAAAAATATATAAGTCATATGTTTTTTTTTTAAATCTTAGTGTTGCTTTTAAATGGCTTAAAAGTGCTGAACTAGATTTTACTGCACAAGGAGATATACAACAACTTCAAGATATTAATCAATTTATGGCTACGAGATGTAAGTATAATATTCAATATATAATCATACTTCTTTTTTAGTTGGTCATAGAAAGGTCGAAAAGAAAAATGTCGACGAGGAAAAATATTGAAGTAGAAAATAATTGAAAAGCGCTTTAGATTATGTTGTTGGAATTGTGGATATGATGGCTTGATTAAAACTAAATACATAAGATAAAAATTTCCTTACTTATTTCACGTTCACTTGGTAACATAACTATTGCTATAATCGAGATCGTGATTGTGATTGTGAAATTGTATCTCGTTTTCATTCACACCCATACTCTCGAAATTTTCGATTTTAACATTTTCTCTTTTCAATATTTATTTTTCGACATCTTTCCTATCGACCTTCCTACGACACACATTTCTATTTTGAGTTTTTCCTTAGCGGGTTCAATTTTTCGTTCAAATGGAAATTCACTTCTTAAACTAGCTGAATTCATTGAAGTAATGTTTGTCTTTTTTAAGTTACTTTTCTTTTATCAAATATATTTCTTTACAATAGACTGTTCATCCATTCGATGAAAATGGTCAACCATGTTTTACATTTGATATGGAAGCTCAACGAAAATCTGCCTTTAAAGTATATAATCATTGTGTTATTAAAATTCATGTAAATTAATAATGATAATTATTTATTTAGGTCTTTATTGAAGAAGAAAGTAATAATAATGAACAACAAAGACCTTCAATTATTATTCCTAAACGTAAGCAAAATTTCATAACATTAGTAAGTATGATTTAGTTTTGTTTTTTAATTTCTTAGGACCAAAAAAGCTTCATTATTGGTGTTTATCACCAGGTTTTGCTATGCGACAATTATGTATGCAAAATACTCGATCTATTCTATTAACAAGTGGTACACTTTCACCAATTGATTCATTTAAAACACAATTAGCAATGTAAGATCGACGGATATTTTTTTAATTTGAATCTAAATAGAAAGTTTAATTTGTGATAAATTTCAGTCCATTTGATATTGTTATACAAAATGATCATATTATTGAAAAAAATCAATTATTTACTGCTATTTTACCTCGAGCAGCTGGTAATAAACATATTCTTACATCTGTGTATAGAACAAGGTAAGTCAAAAGACTTTATTCATATTCTTAACAAAAAAAAAAGAAGTCATTATTCTATATAGACAAAATCCAGAATACCAAGAAGCATTAGGTAATAAGAAAAGATTTAAGAACTTATATAGTTACACAAATGAATAATTATTTAGGTCAAACATTACATAATGTAATAAAAAATATTCCAGGTGGTGTTCTTGTCTTTTTTCCTTGTTATAAAATGATCGAAGAAGTTGTTACAACATGGAAGGTTTGTTTTATTTGATATGAATATAAATTTGATAATCAACTTCAAAAAACAAAAACTAGAATAATGCTACATTTGAAATAATGAATCAACGTAAACGTGTAATTATTGAACAACGAAATAAAATAAAATTTGAAAATCAAATGAAAGAATTTAATACAATTATTGAAAATGATCAACGTGGTGCTATGTTATTTGCTGTTGCTCGTGGAAAATTAAGTGAAGGCATTGATTTTAGTGACAAATCTTGTCGAGCAGTAATTATTATTGGTATACCATTTGCACCTCATCAAGATAGACGAGTTATTGCTAAAAGACATTATCTTGATGAGATGAATCGTGGAAATGTATGTTTTGTTTTTTTTTGTAAATATTTGATTTATGTTTAGAAAATTAAATTTATTTTTCTATTCTTTTAAAAGAAAGAATTAAAAGCAGGTGATGTTTGGTATAATCAACAAGCTTTTCGAGCTATTAATCAATGTGTTGGTCGTGTTATACGACATAGACGTGATTATGGTGCAGTACTCTTTTTTGATCAACGGTAATAAAAAAAATTTATGAATTTTAGAATAAATTATTTTTGTTTTATTCATGTAGATTTGGAGATAATATAGATAAATTATCGAAATGGCTTCGTCCATATATACATACAGTTGATTTTACTGGAATGATGAAAGGACTTAAAGAGTTTTTTGTTCAAGTTGTCTTATTTATTTTTTGTTTTTGTTTCGTGTTTTTTCATTTATTTTAATTTTAGTATTCATCAAATTCAATTGGTCAACAAACAACTCATCCTATTCAACAAGCATCTTTTGCATCTGTTACACATTCAACAACAATGATGACAAGTATCACAACAAAATCTGTTAATCATACAGCATCATCTGAAGATATTCTTCAAACAACATTAAAACAATCTAGTAAATCTTCTTACGCTTGTGTTAACTCTTTAAGGCTAAACGTAGTTTTTTTTTTTGGACGACTAGAAAAAATAGAGATTGTGGACATTCAGTATGATCATATTATAGTTAAAAATAGATGAGCTGCTTTTTTTTTTCTTATAGAGAATGCTTATCGGAAAGAACATCAGGTTTTAACGGTATTAAATGTCTCACTTATTTTAATTTATGTGAGAAAATTTTTTTCTCACAAATAATTCTATTTATTTATTTTATATAACACTAAGAACCAATTGAATAAAATATTTGCAATTTTTTAAACACATCTTCATTTTGCGTTTAGTTATAGCACTATTCTGTCACTTCAACCAAATATCGCGAAATCAATCTTATGAATTCG